CCCCCCCCCCCCCCCCGTTGTAGAAATCTTAGTAAATGCAGAGACCAAGTGAGATGTATCAAAACGTAGGTATACAATCAGCGAGGGTCGATCGCCCTGTCTGTTACAACCAGAATTACTTTCAATGATCGATATTCATATCGAATGGGTGTGAGAGTTTGATCAGATTTCTTCGTCAGCCCCCTGCTCTTTATGCAGGCTATCCTACGATTCAGGTGACCGCACCACTGGAATAGAGGTGGTCCTAGAGTTAATTTGTCGACTTGCCAAACCGCGAGAAGGATGCTGTCGTGTGTGCATCTATCTGACAGCGACAGTGTACACCTGCATCTATATTTATACAGTCAGAAAATCGGATCATTGGATATTGTTGGAATTCGGACGGATGGAGAGATGGATGGGGTTTTCGTTTACCGTCCCTTGTGAGGGGTGTAGCACACAAGGGGTGTAGCTAACTCCTGAGCGTACTTTCCGTGGGAGCAAGGGCCATTCTTCTGTGTGCTGGATGGAGAGATGGATGATGGGTGGGTTACCCACTCACGGTGGTTGGTCATTCACTACTGTGGGTTGCATGCACGTGTCGTGCCGTTCTTGGTGTCGATCGGATATGCCGGCAGCAACCGCCATGCCAGCGGTGTCGGCGATGTGGGGTTGGCTGCCTGGTTGGGTGGCTGTGCCAGCTGACAAGGATCTGGCAAGGATGCAGAGAAGAAGAATAAGATCCGCGGGTCTGTGACTCTATTTTATGGCGAAGGAGGGGCACAGTAGTGGATACCGCAGGATGGCTGGGGCTTCAGCGACAAGTGAGCGAAGGGCCCATCCACGTGCCTCATACGAGGCCTACTGATTTCTCACGACAGCTCCATGGAGGTCGAATGCGCAGATGGTTCGTTGCGTTGGGCTGGGAGAGGTTGGGGCCTCGTGCGATGCCTGTCCATTGATGGCAAGGTGAGTAGGTGCTGATCGTTTGATGCACAGCAGAAGTTCCAGCGAGGGCATTGGAATGGAGGGAAAAAAGTTGAAGTGTCGTTCTTCGAGTGAGGGCATAGCATCTGAGAGCGTTTGGGTGCGTTTAAGCTGAGAACAGAATACATCAGGGAATGGTTTTCCGGATGTTCCAAGTGTGTGCATATGATTTCTAAAGGGAAAAGGAGCCTCTTTGATTGTAGAATAGCATCCATTGAAGCAGGACCTTGTGGGTTGCATGTGTGTGTGTGCTGTCTCTTATACACATCTAGATGTGTATAAGAGACAGCTCTATAGCTGGGCCAGGTACTGGTGGTTTAAAA